CGTAGTCAGACGTGGCGAATAAAAATTAAAAACAGAGCAAAATTAACTACATAATCTAGTTATTTAATCAAAAATACATTATGAAATGACAAAATCTGTGGTTACTTGAACGCACAGATGACCCTGGGCGATACATTAAGTTTATATGGTTGCGTTGCGGATAAATTCACCCATAAAGGTTAAAATACAAGACAAGCAGAAAAAGCAAATAAACGACAAAGCTCTTCAATCTTTCATTCTCGTTGTCAGGAGCGTTTATCATTATAGGAAAGCAATTTGTTGTGTGTGGGACCATACTGTGACCGTGATACAAGGAGCTAGATATGGAATATACTTGAAGGATATAAACCATGCATACAATGAGGGAGATAAGCCATGCACGCAAATTATTAAATGCGATTCGGTGAGGCGTTACCAGTCTGCACTATCTGACGACGTATGAGTAATCGACAACATATAAAATTCAAACAAGTAGGTAGGCGCTAACGAAGTCTACAAAAATCTTTGCAGAAAATGTACTTTATAGAAATACGTACGCATTTGGTAATGCACTTGATTAGGCTATATAACGCTTGATCTGATTAGCATGACAAATTTAAATGTCAGGTCCGTCAGAATAAGAATGAATTGTGTGGTGGTTTGATAACAGGAGAAACTAAAGTTAGCTAACTTAATATACACTATTATCGTGAATGTCTCCAATTTTTACTGGCTTCTGGTATACTTATTTTATACAAATTCTGAACCTGGTTTCGCTTATTGTTTTGATCATAAACCACGATTTCTACCTTGATTTTGTTTGACCATTTGTACTTTGGGGTCAGGAAACCCAAATATTGAGCGTTTTTTTATGAAATTCGTCCATTGTATCTAAAATGGCTTTAGGAATTTTTCAATATGCTAATATCTCTAACTATTCGGGTTTCGGTTTTCTCATTGTTTGGTTGGAAGTTACAAAAATATAAAATCACCATCTTTCCGAAAAAAGCAGTATGAATTTCGGATATAACGCTTGGAGGTTTTCTATGTTTTGAATGTGCCTTTCAAGAACTTATTTTCACTTCGAAAACTTTTAGGCAATTTTCGAGGTCCAATAATGATCCTAGTTGGTGAAATATTATACATTATCATAGACGCTACATAAAAATGATCAAAAATGGGGGACTAATCGTGACGTTTAATATTATATTGGTCTATAATCATTAGAATAGTTGATTTGGTCTTGTTAGGCTGTATTAAACACTACAATGTTAGGAAAAGCTTTATGTACCTTTAGCAGACTAAATTAGGTATTCCTTAGATAATCAAAGACTTTTGGTCACGGCTAGTTATCACGAAACCATGAACCTAGACTCTATGTCAACTGCCACTCACTAGAAAGGGTTACCCGTAATTATATGATGTGGAGTTCATTAGACTAGTGTCAGCACTCGAACTTGATCGACAGGATTCAATCAGCTCTGAGACAGGACTTGACAAACATGACACAGATTGCTACATAGTGGTCAGACAGTTGTGGGTGTATCTCTGTCCAGTAGTAGTTCAGTCGCGGCCCAGAAAGCTCAGTGATATTGTCTATATTTAGGAAGCCAAGCGACTCGAGATCGAGTCCGCGAGGATACATCAGTCTCTTCAAGAGCGCAAGCAAGCCAAATTAATTTGTATATTGGGAAATATCAAAAGCTGTCTAGGATATTAATGATAGACTTCATAGCAAACCTCAAATACTCAGGTTTCTAGAGCCCAAACTACAACATATAACCTGTGAAACAATTTGTTATGCCTTTATGATAACCAGAGTTTGAAGATATACAACGCATGAGACCTGCCGGAGTCCAGAATGAGTTTAATGTTTTTCCACAAAATGACACTTATAATAAGAATGTACTCTAGATAAAAATATTTAGGTCAGATGGAACGCCAACAATTGCGCTAATAGGTGGTCCAGTGGTAGTGATATGGTGTTGTACCAGCTGTGGGTTACCTTCCTTTTGGTAATCTGATTTCGTAATGCACTGGTATTCTGTTAGAATGTCGTTGAAAACGTTGTTCGCAGGCTTCATTATCCGTACACCATGGATTTCACAGTCGTTGGAAGGTGTACCTTCTACCTGTAAACGTGTATTTGCGTCGATTAATCTCTTCTTGGTCATATCTACTAACAAATTGTAGGCACTGAGGAAATCAGCTCCGAGAATGGGTCGTTTGACTTGAGCAACTATGAATACCCATGTGAATCTTCTGCGGAGCCCGAGATCTAATATAAGAGATTGCTCTCCGTAAGTTTTGATAACTGATTCGTTAGCCGCTACTAAGGACAATTTAGTGCTTGTCGTATGTTGTCTGCGTGAGAGATGAAGTGGGATGATGCTGATTTCTGCTCCAGTATCGACTAAGAAGTCTGAGCCAGAAATACGATCCCTGATGTGGAAGAGGCGGCTAACATGTTGGCCAGTAACAGCTGCCGCCATTACTGTCTGGCCACTTCGTTTCCCTGATGGTCTGGCTTGTTTGTCGTGAAGTTGCACGGTTTTGTGCAACGACGTGCTTTCTCACCATAATTCGAATGATACCAACAAATTCCGGCTGCCCGCTTAGGTGACCTAAGGCGATGTCTGGATACTGATCTCCTTCTGGACGTAGATCTGGGAGGTCGAGAACGGATGGTGGAAATAGTGGCCTGCAGTGATGCTAGCTGCTGTGTTAACTGTGTTATTTGTTGTTGGATGTTGAGTGCGTCGCTCATGTTTTCACTACTTGAGGATGGTATCGCGTTAACGCCGCAACTATCGGGATATATTTCTATCATCTTATCGGCCATGTCTGCTAGATCATCAAGACTGACAGAGGCTCCTGATATGCTGAGGATTTGTCTGACGCTATGTGGTAACCTTTGTGACCACATCTGCTTAAGTAATGCTTCGTCTAACTTGTATGAGCCTGCTAGTTGTCTCATATGTCTAAGCAACTGTGAAGGTCTTTTGTCCCCTAACTCGCATGCGGTGAGTAGTTGCTGTAAGCGTTTTTCGTCAGACTGCGAAGTACGGTGGATTACTGCGGCTTTTATTTTGTCGTAGGGGTCCGTTTCTGGTACGTTATCTATCAGGTCTCCGACTTCTGCTGCCACTTCTATGGGTAATGCTCCAACGATGTATGCATATTTTGTCGCTTGCGAGCGTATACCTCTCGACAAAAATAATGCCTCAACCTGTGCAAACCAGATCCTGGGATTATTAACACCGTACGTTGGTAATCTTAACTCTGAGATAGCGTTGATCGAGTTTAAAACATTATCATCTGGCTGTGATGAATGGAAGGGGTTGGTTGATGGGCTATCAATATCGATAAGTTTATTAGGAGAGTTCATAATGTCAAAGACCAAAATGGTGTCGTGCCAATTAATAATAATAAAAAATTATGTAGATATATATATAGTAAATGTCTATAAAAAAAATCAGGGCTCACCAAATAATTGTGGTGGACCAGACAAATATGAACGCAAAAAGTATAAACCAAGTTACTAAAGATAAATAGTAATATTAATATATACAGTTAACTGTTACAAATACAATAAAAATTAGGGACGTTACTTAAATTGTCCAAACGTTGCGTGTTCTGATTAGGTCCAGTAATGTAAATCCACAATTATAAATGCTTGATGACTCTGAGCAGGTTGGCGAACTCTCTAGCGATATAGTCCAACGTAGAATGTGATATATTCCGATTACAGTCTATAAATGTAGATAGTATTTGATTTAGACTTCCGTTAACTCAATCACAAATGGAAATAGAACGAGGGATGCGAGAGTAGTAATGTATTTGTTAACCAGCAAGAATGTCACGCTATGTAATAGCTCAACGGAAAGTGTGTTCAAGGTCATTTACTAAAACAACATGTACAGTCATTTAATGATAAATGTACATACAGTGAAAAATTGACAAACAAATACAAATAATATTAAAAACTATTTACAAAATAAGCTTGTCAGGTCTATCTCCACAAAGCTGTAAATTAATTAAAAAGAACGCTGCAACAGACGGTATTCATCATCGCTTGTAAGGAAGAAGAATGTGGCACACATACCATATTACTACACAAACCTGACCAGTAGGTCGCATAACTTCAGCTTATTGGCAGTAGAAAGTTGAGTTTGTATCAATTGTTTGGTGCGCGCGCGTTATTTTAGTTTAGTTACAACGTCGCTTACTTGTCACTGTGGTTTTTGCCGTTGGCTCAATTAATCTAAGTGAGTATATTCCGTCCGTTTGTTTGGGTTACTTTCGTCCCTTTGTTTTGTTCAGGTAGGCTCTCATTTTTAAATCTTAATTTTCCCGTGAAAATTAAGTAAATGGATGACCTTTGGTTAATTAGTCGTGCGTTTTAGCCGTTGGAAACTTTCGTTTTGAAACGGTTTATGGTAAAGAAGTGCGATTAGGATTGACAAACAGTTTTTGTATGAACAACCTATTCCCATACATTAGTGATTAAGGCTTTTATCGCGAGATGACATCAGCTATGATGCAACGATAGCTGCTCATCGAAATCTGATTGGTTCACCTATATGCTTTTTCCCTGCTAGTTTTTACTCATATTCTATGGGTACCAATAAATCGGGCGGGAGTTTACGAACTGGGCAACAATACTGAAGTCAAAAGAGGGCTCTAGCTTTCCTGTAGAGCAATTTATATGGTTCACCAACCACACATTGGTTTTAAAATTAACACACTTCAAATGCATGCTAAATTAGAGGGAGCTATGTGACTTATCTAAGGTTCCACTTGTAACATCTCGATGTGATTGTTGAAGTTCACACCAAGGTTTTTTCATTGTACGCTATGTGATTGCCTTCATGGCTTATTTTTTATGGGTCTTATATATTGATGAGCCTGTCCACATTTTTTTCTGCTTTCTGTCTCGTTTTTCGTGCTGGAAGGTTAAACTTCCACCGTGGAACTGACACTTGCATTAGTTCCCTTTACCACAACGTACTCCAACTACAATGTATAATGGGATAGGCTTACCAACTCCTCGAGGCAGTGGGACGAATGGATATGTTCAGAAAAATTTGGCCTTCATTAGTAATTTCAAAGAACAAAACCCTTACAAAACAGAGGAAGACATCAAGAGAGCAGATGCTCTGCTGTTCAAGGAACCAAATAAAGAAATACTAGAGCATGAACGGAAACGAAAAATTGAAGTGAAATGTTTTGAGATGGAACAGGAAATGGAGGAACAAGGGTAGGTTTCTTTCGTAATCATTTCCTTTTTAGTTACACGCAGAGCGAAATCGAATTTAGGGTCAATGGGTTTCGAAAAAAGTTGCTGGATGAGTTAAAGGCCTCCGAAATAAAAAAGATTCCCAATGTGGAGCCATTCGAAATCTCTCAGTCTGAACACGGTAAATTGCTACCAAAAGGGACTCATGAAAATGCCGCTGTAAATATCCTTAAAAACACAATTTTCAAAGAAGCCTTGGGAATCGGAGAACAATTTCAAGATGGGAATTCCGTAGAGTTGGCTGTTCAGCGAAAAAAAGATGACGCAGAGACGAAGCGTCTAGTCGAGGCGCAAAAGGAGATGAAGTATGTTTGTGATTTTTTAATGTAAATATCCTGTAATACGCTACTCAACACTTTGGTGTTTTGAACTCTAATTTGGATACTAAGTACCTGTTTCTGTGATTTTTTACTTTAGTTTTTTTCACTCAATAAACGGATGTCATATTAAGTATTGGAGTCATGGCGTTGCTTATTTACTTACGCCTGTCACCCCTCGTGGAGGAGCATGGGCCACCTACCAGCATACTACATCGGACTTTGTCCTGGGCAATCCTTTCCAGTTGTTTCCAATTATTATCCATCCTTTTGATGTGTGCATCCGATTCTCGACACAATCAGTTCTTTGGCCTTCCTCTTTTCCGTTTACCCTCAGGATACCAAGTTAGCGCTTGCCTCGTGATGCAGTTTGATGATTTCCACAATGTATGTTCTATCGAACTCCAGCGAATTTCTCTAATTTTCTCTTCAGTTGGAAGTTGGTTTGTTCTCTCTCACGGTGTGGTAAGCAGCCTTGTCTAATACATCTGTCAATTATCCTTCATACACGACTTTGCAGTGTAGTTTGTCGTATGAACTCTCTATGATGTTGATGGTTTTCGCAGGTACACCAGTGTCGAAGAAGGTTCCATAAGGTTCTCCTATCCACACAGTCGAACACCTCATAGTCAGTGAAGTTGATGTATAGTGACGAGTTGCATTCAATTAATTGTTCAGCGATGATCTAGTGTCACTATTTGATCAGTGCTTGACCGGTCCTTACGGAGTCTGGTCTGTTGATCTTGAATTTTTCCGCTTACCGACATTCTGTTGAAAATTTTCCCTGGTACCGACAGTAGTGTGATGCCTCTATAGTTCCAACATTTTCTCAGATCTCCTTTGTTTGGTATCTTAATCAGGTCGCGGTTGTGACTTTTGTCCGGCTGATTGTCACGTGATTGATTCATCAATCAGAATACGACTTATGTGATCTTAGCACTGTGCCAAACCAATGATGTATTGATCGGTATGAGCAGCCTAGCATCCTCACTAGTCCTTTTTCCTGCCTAGCCCTGCCTGTTAAGTTCAGAACGCCGATATCAGCTGCCACTATGCGATTCGTTTATTTCAAACATACTTGGTTTACATACAAGCAAACCAGACCACATTCATCATAAAGTAAAAATAGCTATTGTACAAGATCAAGCCAAAATGTGACTCTGATTGTGGGAGACTGCAATTAATAAACCGCGTGTAACTTAAGAATATTAAATCGTATAATAATAGTCTATGGATCAAAATAGAACTTATAATAAGAGGAGTATAGATATACATAATCTAGTTACTGAATAGTTATACAATAAAAATATATGCATAATATTAGTCCATTAATAGCTCTCAGAAGTTACCCATAATTTAATCTCCGCTAGGCTATAACACTATCCTCTTTTCAGTCTGTCGATACTTGTTCTTCCTCACAAACCCTCCTGAACGGAACGTGAAGCGTGTTTTCAGTTACTTCTATGTGTGACCTGAGTGTTTTAGCTGGTATGTTTTCGGGTCCAACTGCCTTCCCACTCTTGATTTGTCTGATGGCCATTCTGATTTCTTCCGTTGTTGGTGGAGTGCAATCAGTAGGAAGGTCTGTATGTGCTGCTTCGATGTGCGGTGGATTGAATGGAGCTGACCTATTGAAGAGTTCCTCAAAGTGTTCTCCCATCTGTTCCTTTGTTCGTGAACTTCAGTGATTGTTTTGCCTTATTTGTCCTTGACCGGTGTTATAACTTGTGTCTGACCTGTGTCCTATTAATGTATGACGTAATGATACCGTCAATTAGAGGACAGTAATGCTCTTCTTCACTTGCTTGTTTAATTCAGTGTATTCAGTTTGTTCCTTGACTTCTTCTGTTCTTGTTTGGCTGTTGTTAATTACTGTCTTCTCGTTCTTCCTTTCTTCGATTTTGTCCAAGGTTCCCATAGATGATGATGCTTGTTGCGACCCACAACCTCCCGAAATTTGCTTCTTTGATCCAATTCCAATTGTCGTCCATCATAGTTTCTTCTTCTTTGAGTAGATTTTGTAATGCTTGGAACCTGTTGTTGAGAGTTACCTTGAGTTGGTTGAGTTTGTCAGTATCTGGAAGGAAGTATCTACTGAATCTTTTAATACTTTTTCCCCAGTTGTCCAGTGTTTGTTTAGCTTCAGTTTCATCTTGGCAACCATCAATTGGTGGTGATCTGAAGCTATGTCACCTCCTATCCTGGTTCTAATTTCCTCCATTGACCTGAATTTTCTGGTGATGCAGATATGGTCGATCTGGTTCTGTGTAGTGTGATCTAGTGATACCCATGTAACTTTGTGTATGCGTTTGTGTGGGAATATTGTGCTGCCTGTAGCCAGTTTGTTGAATGCACGTACATTTGTAAGTCTCTCACCATTCTCGTTCGTTTCTCTTAGTCAATCCATGTGGTCTCATGATATCTTCATATCCGGTGTTGTACATTACGACTTTAGCGTTTAGATCTCCCACCAGGATGGTCTGGTTCTTTCCTGGGCACTTCGCCATGATCGATTTCAGCTTCTCGTGGAACTGATCTTTATCGTCGTCATTGCTATCACTGGTTGTTGCACAACATTGGATAACATTCATTGTAATTCCCTCCTTTGTTTTGAAGGATGCTTTGACGATCCTGGGTCCGTGAGATTCCCATCGTATAAGTGCGTAACGTGCTTCTTTGGACAGCATCAGATCCCCTCCCTGGATGTGTGGAGCATTTTCCTCTTCGTGACTGGAGTAACGCAGCATCTCTGTCGTATCTATCCTTCTCTATCCAGCTTGGATTCAATGGGTTCTACTTATTCCTAGAAACTAAGTTGTATCTCCTCATTTCCGCAGCTATTTGGTTGGTTGTTCAGGTCTCCCACACTGTCCGAACATTCCATGTACTCATATTTATTGTTGTTCTTCTGGTTGTTAGAACGGGTATCGTTCTCATGACTTCCGAAGAATATCGGCTTTAATCATGAGGCGTCATAATTATTCCAAATGAAGGCCCTTCAACTCAGAGGAGACAGTCTAAATGGTTTAAATTACTTATTCTGGTTAACGTGTTTTAGCATGGTTGTTTTCTATGAAGTCGGGTTACTGACTTTGCACTCGACCCTATTTAAACAGAAATATTGGTACAAAGGGACATCGAGTATATATGCACTACACAAGTCACTTGACTTGTGTGTGGACTGTGATACTGCCTGGGTGCCCAGATCGAAGCAGGTGGTTTGTTTAGAACGTTACGCCCGGAGCCTTCGACCTAAAGATCTGATCCATGAGGCAGTGGACTAACGTGAGGAGATGCAGTCCCATGGTATCGGGTGACCAACGATAAGATCATACGCCATTTTTTCCTCAGGATCCTGGAGCCCATGTGCACCATTGGTTTGAAATCGGTTTACAGCTCCCCTAGGTGGATCCTTCATATCCACCAACCCGGTTAAAACGCCGTTCATTCGCCTTTCTTCCTCTCAATTTCGTAAACAACGCCCTTACCGCGAGAAAGCATTGAGTAGGACTTCCCTGACAGTGGCTGTATGTACGTGGCCATGTGAGAGCATTTTAAGAGGGAGAGCTGACTGTCCTCACCCTCGACCGTATCAGGGCGTTTATGGCTACTCGACCCTCCTTTACCCGAGCTTGAGACCGGCAATAGCCCTAGAAGAGCTACAGGTGGAGTAATTCTGATTCAAAGAAATGCATTTATGGTGTGTTAAATCAACCATAAATTAAATGTACGACGTGTTTCAGTCACGGTCTTAGAACTTTTATTAACTCTGAAGCTCATGAGTTCTATTTATCCCTGTAAATAATTAGGGTTGACAAAGATTTGGACATTTGTAATATGAATTTAAATCGATGCAGGTTAAGGGACATTGCCTAGCTAGTCACTAGCTCAAGCTATTATGAAATTAGGAAAACCTGAAAAAATCACACATGACAAGTGAAATATGTAACAGATCTGGAAATATCTCTGAAGGGGATGAAGTAGTTCTGTTTAGGATATTTATTGCAGTAACAACTGTAGTCAATACACTTTTAGATCTTGATTTTAAACTCCAGTCCACGTACTTCGGTTCTGACATTCGAGTAGTGATTAGTCTGCACATAACTACACTGTGAATTAAACCAAATTACATGGACCTGTTTTTTTAAATGAGTTACTTTAAGGGTGTTTATTGGTTTCACGACCTAAACTTAATTTATCAGTTAACAGCTAGCTGGTTACAGAAGAATGACTACTGTAGGGCTGCTGAGTATTCAGTTTGTATGTAGATATCCCATAAAACGAAATGATAACTGTTGTGGATGCGGAAGAATAGACCAATAATTATCATGTTAAGTCCAGTGGTGTCCTTGGACTTTAAATGTACATTTCTTATTGGTCGATGTTTATTCACTTGTTAAATATATTGTAAATGTTGTTTCCTATTTTTATGGTACGATGTGGTGTGCTTGATTGGTATATAAACAAAGTATGTTTGAAATACAATGATTCATATCTCAGAGGTTGTGACTTGTGTTCTGGACTCAACTAACTGGGCTAGACAGGGAAGCGAGACCAATAGAGACTCTAGGCCGTCCGTACGTGTTTTCCGTGTCACTGTACTGCGATCGATCAATAAATACGCTGCTTATCAAACCCTGCAGTCTCACAACTTAAATTCATAACAATTGGCGACGGGGTGGAGAAAAATTTTGAACCTTGTAATTGGACGAGATTCAGGTTAATTGTTTCGACCAATCAGCATCCAGATTGTCACCAGCGTCCTTGAGCAACATTGGTCATTATTCCTACAGTTAATTTTCATTGCAGGTGCTGAAAAAAAAATGACTACCTTTTCCGATCGATTACAGCTTCTACTTGAGCAACAACAGCAGTGCTTCAAAAATAGCCAGTTAAATTTTTTAGAAAATTTACGCACACTGTTGGTAAATGTTCCATGTTTCGGAGGTGCAACAGAAGTTGGTAAATTCATTTCTCATCTGCAGACT